AAAACCTTGTCTTTGTATTTTTTCCATCTCTAAAAAGAATTGCTATATATTTTGGGGAGTAGGAATAGTGTGGTGTTGTCAGAGAGCAATTTTTTTTACCAAGCAGCACAGTAGGAGTGTTGCCCACTCCAAGTTTGACTGCTACTGACCTGATTGCAAAACCATCGTCATGTGACATCAAAGTGGCTGGGTTCCTGCATTGTGGATAGCCAAAATTAAACAAGCACTTTCTAGGTGTACAGCAGAGATGGGTTGCTTCTGGTTCGGCCTGGATTGGACGAATTGGTAGTAGCAGTGGTGGGAGGTTCCGCCCACCCGGCTGGATGCTTCTGAGCATGTGCAGAAGCGTCGTGCGAGCGAACCAGTACTACAAAAAAATTGGAAACCCACCACTGGTGTACGGACTGTGTGAACTACATTATGTTGTTTCTGGGTCCCATTGCTTGTTTTATAGGGTTAGGGTTATATCGTTGTTTTTGCGTCCCACTATGTTGTTTGCAGATGGTGTGATTTTGACGTCGCGGTTTTGTCGGCACGCATTTGTTGGGCGCGCATTTGTCGGTGACCGAGCTGATTGTAAGCTGTATTGATAACCAGCCTTTCCTTTCTGGTAGCTTCTAAGCTATGTTGGACTTTCAGCTCTCAACATTTTCAGCCAGCTTGGCCATCAAGAATATGCTAAATTGAGGGAGTTCTCTTTCCATCTATGTATCTTGCAGTGCAATTGTGCAATTTGAAATTGCAGCTTTTTAAAAATTACAAAATATTTCTTCCCTTTTTAAAAAAATGACTTACTCAGAACTCTTACCAAAAGTGTAACACAAAGACCAGCCAAAAGCAGCAACCTTTCCCCAATACCTCTCAATATTTGTGAATACCGTAAGTTAGGAAAAACTCAAAGGTCTAAAAGGAAGTTGCTTTACTTCCTGGTGGATCATAGATAAAATCAAAGATGGCCATGGGCCTAGAGTATTTTGGTTTTTTGAAAGATCATTGGACACTATTGTAACAGAGGAGACCCTTTACATTTCTTGAGCTGATTTAGGGTGGTAGCTCTTATATATTCTTGTGTATAAGAGAATCTTGTGTGCATCAGAGAATCAGAAATCATTGTCCTAAATCACAGGTGTCAAACTCTATCATGTCACATGATGTATTGCAATATTTTTTGCCTTTGCGGACCTCGAATGGGTGTAGCCTCTGTGGGATGGATCCGGCCCACAGGCCACCAGTTTGACACCTCTGTAAATTCAGGCTACAATCTCGGCTGGATCACCATAGCAAGAATTAACTGAATTAACTGAGCAGTGACCTTTTTTTATCAATTAGAAATGCTTTGTTTTTAGTTTTTCTTTCTTTTTTAGGTAATTTGAGTGCCAGAAATTATGTAAAATTATGTTATGTGTGGAGCACCAGAGAAGTAAAAACTGTCGGTAGATGAGTAACATTTGAGAATTTACTCATGGGTTCTTAATCTGCTAGCTGAAATGCAGTTGGCAAATAGAGCTGGGGGGGCGGGGGGGGGATAAAGAATTGTCCCTATCCCCCAAGGGCATGAAGAGGTTGCTTGAAAAACTCCTTGTTTGAAAGAAAAGAAAGAGAAAATAAGGTGGTGTCACAGCAGGTGCGAAGGATGGTAAACAAAGCAATCCAAACTATACCTTATA